TGACTTGAAATTTACTGGGAGTGGTTATCGCGGTAACTCCGCCTTCGGTGTCATATTAGCGAAACTGAACAAAACCGGTGTCCCGTTATTTAAATTCCGTCAGTTGTAACATGCATTGTAAATTTGCTATTACGGCGTAACTGGCTTCACTTTACCAAGGGCCCTGGTGATACATTTTTGGTAGCACACAAGCGTCCGTTATAAACCAGAGGCACATCACATCACTGCATGAGCAATCATGTCCAAACTGCACCGTAGTGAACGCCCACACAAATCTTTGTATTATACGCCTTTATTATTATGTTATTAACTTCAAACAATTTATACAGTGAGGCTACTCAATTGTCATTCAAAATCGAAAGTGATCCGTCCGTGGTGAAAACCATTAAGCAGTCAGTTAGCAGTCGATCAGGGGGCTATTGATCTGTTCGCCGAGCTTGGCAATCGATTCACAAGCGTTTCGTCACCATTCATGTAGACATCTTTAGTGCGCTGTTTGTTGAAGATGTATTGAAGACGTCTCCTCAAATGGTGACGAAACGCTTGCAAAGTGCCAAGTTCATGTAGACATCTTTAGTGCGCTGTTTGTTGAAGATGTATTGAAGACGTCTCCTCAAATGGTGACGAAACGCTTGCAAATCGATTGCCAAGTTGACGAACAGATCAACAGTACCAACTAATGCACTCGAGCTACCAATATTCCAACACATTACCATTTGGCAGTCAGAATGTGGCCTACATATACAAGCAGTTTAGGTTCTTCAAGAATAACACGCCATCTTTCACCTGATGTTTTGGGAAATCGCTCGCGATCGATTATTACTTTCATTTCGACCTTCTTCATGGAGGCTTGAGGTTCTTCTTGCCAGTTTATCAGTTTGTAGTCCGATAGACGAACTGTCCAACCCCGCTGGGACGTTCATTGAAAGTAGTATAATCAGTTCATCGTTTTAACCTCGGATTTCCAACCCACTAACCAATAGCACTCATAAGCCTCATAAAAACCCCGTGTGGTTCAATAATCACACAAAATGACCGACGGTTTGGAGGCTGAAGAGAAACCTCATTGTTCGCTCATTTTTATCGAAATGGTGGGTGCACACAAACGCTTTTTCACTAAAAGCAAATTATCATTATATTGTGCTTCAACTGCATGTTTTGTTGGAAACTGGAATTACTTACTGGTAGGCAAGCTCCCAGATAAATCTGACTACAATAGTTGGACCTTTGTTGAACACAATGCGAAAGAACGTAACCAAGATGCAGTGGCCCAGTTTCAGGAACACCCGAAGTTTCCGTCTCAGAATACATAAGCGGCTCTGCCAGGCCCCTCGAATAGTGTGAGGTGAAAAGCTGGCTACTGAATTATTTTGGGTCAGGTTGGAGTGTGGTTTCAAAGTCCGAAATTCTATGAAATATTGAGGGGGAGAGCAATAACGGTTGCTACCAGAAACGTGGTTCTTGCATAAGGTAACACGTTTCGCCAAATTGTGCGTGATTTCACAAAGCATAAGTAAACGGACCGTTCCTTTCCATGCTACTTGCTCGTGAATTGCCCAGGCCGAAGAGGTTGTCAATACCATAACATCTGTTTAGGGGGTCGTCAAATAAATTATCGCCTCATTACGATGTTTTACTCTCCTAGCGTATTCACCGTACAAACTAGGACGCGCCTAAACTTCTCCAAAGCTGATTTCGGGATTCCAACTTTGTTGGCTTCCTGGCGAACAAGCACGTTGAGTTCCGGTGAAAGTTACGCTTATTCATTCTGCATCCGTATGCTTTATCCATCGTCAGTTGAAAACACTTGGTCCCATAGAACACCATCCATGTTCTACACCTAACCATCCGCACATAGACCTACCGGAGGCTCGTTCTGTTTTAAATGCAACAATACCTGTTTTGCTGTTGTTAAATTACCCGCGACCATCCATTTTTCTCATCAGTTTTCTTTGTTTAAATTCAAAAGCTCTAAATGAAGAGTTATTTTAATTAAGTTGGGAGTTTAGGATGGCGCCTAAAGCGAGGGATGTGGGCGGTAACCAACAACCAAATCTTGCACGCCATTCGGTCACTAAACAATGACTGGCAGTGTATGAGATGAATAAATTTCACAGCTGTGGCAGCTTCACGCCGCCTGATAAATAGATGTTTTTATGTCGAATGAAGTAACGTCACTGAACAAGCGTCATCACCCGATGGTTGGGTAGACATACTATTTTAATTTGCACGTCCAATGATCTTCACGAAATCAAATGTTCCCGCCAACAGAATATACCTTTTTATGTGACCCTACATCAAGGATTTTTATTAGTACTTTTTGTCAAACGTTTTCCCATTCATTGTTTTCTCCCCCGTAAGGTCACCACGTGAACAAACGTATGTTTGATTTGATAAGCACACCAAAGGGATTTACTAATTTACGACGAGTAACAACGGTTCTTTAAACTTTGAAGATTTTTCTATATGAGCAAACAGGAAAGGATATAAAATCTGGATAGGTTACGTTTCTTGTTCTACTTGCTGACGATGCACTCAGAAAACGGGCATAGCAATCCAAGTGCTTTGCCGCTTAACTCGGTTTCATGTCTGCACTCTTACTAGTCCGTTATGTGAATCGTCATAATTATCACATCATGTAATGTGTTCGCAAGAAACCTCGTTGAAGTGATGTATGATCAAGTAAAATGCGGAGGAATGCTGTTGGATACGTTGGTGGATGCCACTGTCGATGTTGCTACACAACTGGTCTATTCCTCTTTTTTCGGAAAACACATTGCTGTAGACGGAAGTGATACATCATCTTTGAAGAGGGAACCAGAGTGGAACACTTCTCACTGATTGTGTGGTGGTTTGTAATGACTTTTGTATAGAAATGATGATTTAACTGCAGCACGCATTACGGGCTGCCTTCAGTCTTATTTGTCTAACTGCGCAATCGACATTTATTTTACCATTATCTGAGTCAAAGTTTGCCCAGAACTCCTCACCTAATGAGTGACTAGTAACACAGGCTATAAGGATCATAGGACAATAAGGACCCTAAATTGACCCTGGTTTCTGCACACATTTTTGTTAGAAATAAGCTTATTTTGGGCACATGCGTGTGACGACTGCTCACGCGATGATGACCCCATGGCACTAACAGATTCCAGCAACTTTTTGTCAGTTTTGCGGCAAGTATAAATTGTGTAGCTACATTCGCTACTTGTAAACGGCCTGCAACCAACACGTCAACAATATGTCACTCATTTTTCTGGAAGATATGCGATGGATATTCACACAACCATCTGATCGGCAGTCCTACTGGTTTGCCAATATTTTTGGACTCGCAGTACCGATCCAAAACTGGTAAATCTACCGTTCAGACTTTGTCTGGGAAAATAGGGACGTTTGAAGATTTGTTCGTGGAC